AAAGATTTTAAGTGGCCATGTGTTTTATTAAGTACATCAGTATCTAACCCACTGGAAAAATAACACATACACTTTTATGCTTATTTATGTATTCAATCCGAGCAATACTCGGTGCCCACATGGAGGCTCTGTAATGCCTCCAATGCCTCCAGATGTTTGTGGCCCTCTGGTTGGGAACCATGACTCTATGATCAATAGAGTTGACCTCCATGCAAAGAGTGGGTCCAGCCATCACGTTTTCTGCAACCTGTGCTGGAACACAGCCTGTCTGGAGTTGCAGGTACCAGTGAGAACCTGGCTCCGGAGGCACCCCAGTCCCACCCCTGAGAGCTTTGGGGAGGCCATGAATAGAGGTGGACCTAAATCTTAAAGCTGTGGTGACAGCTGGTACCTGCCCCTGCCAATTAGGGAGGAACAACCCAGGTGTCAGAGGGGGCTTTGGAAGCTACGTTTTTGTCGACAGTAGAAATATTTTGTTGTATGAAAATAGAGGACTGAAAAGGGACTTTTTCTACTACTCAATAAGATGCTTTGGGAACACAGAAGAAGGAAGAGACTATTCTGCCATGATTGTGGATAGCAACAACTTCCTAGAGAAATTGCTTTACTTATTTATTAAATATGTAAATAAATTCAGTTCATTCATATATCAAAGCCTGTGGCACAAAGAGGAAAACTAGAATAAGGAGAGGACAGACTGCTGCGCAGAGATGTAACCTCTCTTTGTAACACCTCCCAGGCCACCAGATGTCCATGGCCCCTAGGGATGCACCCATGGAAAATTTTGCTGTCATGATTTTTACCTTACTCCTTCTTGGTCCTTCTCTATCCCTGTGCTGTCCTTCCTTGTTTCAGTTTGATTCTACCTTATCCTTCCTTTTCATTTGCCCATGAAGGTTCTGTTGGAAGGGGTCTTAAGGTTCATGAGACATTTAACTCATTTTCTGAATAAGGAAACTGAGAAATAAAGCCATCCTGCAGGGTCTGCAGAAGCCAACCACTTGCAGGCTGTTTGATTTTCATCAGTATTGACAAAGATGGGTGAGATTACACTCATCCGAGTGAATAGGTGCTCTTCTGTCAAATTCCACTGAACAGCAACAAGTGTCTGCCATTGAACGAGCCTCTGCAGCTAGGCTGGCCTGCCCTCACGAAGCAGACAGTGGATTTCCATGAGACAAGCAGCACTTCCAGGGAATTTCAGGTCACTGCTAGCCCCCCTCCCATTTTTTTAACCTGACCCCCAGAAGTCCAAAAGGACTAGTCTAGTCCGCAGGCAAGGGTAAGCTAGTAATACTAATATGTCTCCATCATTTTTGAGTAACCACTGTGAGCTGGACACTGGAGCTTTGCAAATTTATCTGATTTAAACCTTATATGTTTAAAACTCTGTGACTTATATATATATCAATTTGCAAATGAGATTTCTGAGGTGCAAAGAATTTACTTCAACAAAGTCCCCCAGCTAATAAGTGCCAGAGGCAGTGTTTGAATATATGTATAAATATATATGCATGTATGTGTAAAATATTTATATATATTTCCCCTGAAGCACTTTTCTTTCACCTGAGTTATGCAGTCTTCTATCATTTCACATGATTAGAAAAGAAGTAATATCCCAAGTCATAAATAATCAGTGTACTTTGCCATAGCAACATTGTTTCACTTATTCTTGCATATGAAAACAACAACAAAGTAATTTATTTCCGTTTTACTCTATTATCTTTTCCCTTTCTACATCAAACCTCAAATACATGAATATAGGGGAATAAAACTAAGTATTTTAAGAAAATAATCAAGATCGCTTCAGCCCTTGTATAATAAATCTGTTTATTCAACAGATGTTTATTGAGCATCTGCTCTATGCCAGGAATTCTGCTAAAAGCTATGA